GGATATTTGTTTGGATTAATTTATATTTCTGTTTTTATTGGTGGATTTGGTATCTTTTAGGTAAGAATCGAAAATTAGGTGTCCATGACGCAAAAATGATCAAAGGGTAAGAAAAGAGTTGCAATTAAGAAAATAAAATCAAATTATAAGGGTGAATCCCTCAACATCTTTGGTAGTGTCCACGAAGTCGAGCATAACTCTCTCATCCGGACTCCAAATCGAATGGTTCCGGTGGCATTAGAAAGCTATTTCAGTGGGCTACAATTCCCGTCTAACGTCAAAATTCCAAATCCGGACTCGAACATGGTCAAAATTGGATAACAAAATCGATCAGAAAATACGTACAACAATTCAAGGACGTGAATGCGCATCAAGAAACGTGCACAAAAACACTCGCTAGAAAAGATACGCACATGAGTAAAAGTTCAAAAGCATGCACAAAAGTACTCACGCAAAAGTGCATTCGCAAAAAGGAGCATGAAACCACAAACTACAATGGTAGGACAATAATGCAAATCTACAAACATGCAGAAACACGCTCCCTCAAATGGACATGCACAAAAACGTACATGTAAAAAAACATGCGCAAAAGTGCATCCGCAACAACATTCTTGAAAACACGAACTACAATACTATGACTTTAATACGCATCAACAGACAACAACAAAAACACTAGATAAAAAAGATACAATGGAGTGTAGCAATAATACTCGACGTTTACGTTTACGTGGATTTTTGTTTGGATTAATTTATATTTCTGTTTTTTATTGGTGGATTTGGTATCTTTTAGGTAAATAAAAAATTAGGTGTCCAGGAAGCAAAAATGATCAAAGGGTAAGAAAAGAGTTGCAATTAAGAAAATAAAATCAAATTAGAAGAGAGAATCCCTCAACATCTTTGGTAGTGTCCACGAAGTCGAGCATAACTCTCTCATCCGGACTCCAAATCGACTAGTTCCGGTGGCATTAGAAAGCTATTTCAGTGGGCTACAATTCCCGTCTAACGTCAAAATTCCAAATTCGGACTCGAACATGGTCAAAATTGGATAACAAAATCGATCATGAAAATACGTACTACAATTCAAGGACGTGAATGCGCATCAAGAAACGTGCACAAAAACACTCGCTAGAAAAGATACGCACATGAGTAAAAGTTCAAAAGCATGCACAAAAGTACTCACGCAAAAGTGCATTCGCAAAAAGGATCATGAAAACACAAACAACAATCGTAGGACATTAATACAAATCTACAAACATGCAGAAACATGCTCCCTGAAATGGACATGCACAAAAACGTACATGTAAAAAAACATGCGCAAAAGTGCATCCGCAACAACATTCTTGAAAACACGAACTACAATACTTTGACTTTAATACGCATCAACAGACAACAGCAAAAACACTAGATAAAAAAGATACAATCGAGTGTAGAAATAATACTCGACGTTTACGTTTACGTGGATATTTGTTTGGATTAATTTATATTTCTGTTTTTATTGGTGGATTTGGTATCTTTTAGGTAAGAATCGAAAATTAGGTGTCCATGACGCAAAAATGATCAAAGGGTAAGAAAAGAGTTGCAATTAAGAAAATAAAATCAAATTATAAGGGTGAATCCCTCAACATCTTTGGTAGTGTCCACGAAGTCGAGCATAACTCTCTCATCCGGACTCCAAATCGAATGGTTCCGGTGGCATTAGAAAGCTATTTCAGTGGGCTACAATTCCCGTCTAACGTCAAAATTCCAAATCCGGACTCGAACATGGTCAAAATTGGATAACAAAATCGATCAGAAAATACGTACAACAATTCAAGGACGTGAATGCGCATCAAGAAACGTGCACAAAAACACTCGCTAGAAAAGATACGCACATGAGTAAAAGTTCAAAAGCATGCACAAAAGTACTCACGCAAAAGTGCATTCGCAAAAAGGAGCATGAAACCACAAACTACAATGGTAGGACAATAATGCAAATCTACAAACATGCAGAAACACGCTCCCTCAAATGGACATGCACAAAAACGTACATGTAAAAAAACATGCGCAAAAGTGCATCCGCAACAACATTCTTGAAAACACGAACTACAATACTATGACTTTTATACGCATCAACAGACAACAACAAAAACACTAGATAAAAAAGATACAATGGAGTGTAGCAATAATACTCGACGTTTACGTTTACGTGGATTTTTCTTTGGATTAATTTATATTTCTGTTTTTATAGGTGGATTTGGTATCTTTTAGGTACAAATAAAAAATTAGGTGTCCAGGAAGCAAAAATGATCAAAGGGTAAGAAAAGAGTTGCAATTAAGAAAATAAAATCAAATTAGAAGAGAGAATCCCTCAACATCTTTGGTAGTGTCCACGAAGTCGAGCATAACTCTCTCATCCGGACTCCAAATCGACTAGTTCCGGTGGCATTCGAAAGATATTTCAGTGGGCTACAATTCCCGTCTAACGTCAAAATTCCAAATTCGGACTCGAACATGGTCAAAATTGGATAACAAAATCGATCATGAAAATACGTACTACAATTCAAGGACGTGAATGCGCATCAAGAAACGTGCACAAAAACACTCGCTAGAAAAGATACGCACATGAGTAAAAGTTCAAAAGCATGCACAAAAGTACTCACGCAAAAGTGCATTCGCAAAAAGGATCATGAAAACACAAACAACAATCGTAGGACATTAATACAAATCTACAAACATGCAGAAACATGCTCCCTGAAATGGACATGCACAAAAACGTACATGTAAAAAAACATGCGCAAAAGTGCATCCGCAACAACATTCTTGAAAACACGAACTACAATACTTTGACTTTAATACGCATCAACAGACAACAACAAAAACACTAGATAAAATATATACAATGGAGTGTAGCAATAATACTCGACGTTTACGTTTACGTGGATATTTGTTTGGATTAATTTATATTTCTGTTTTTATTGGTGGATTTGGTATCTTTTAGGTAAGAATCGAAACTTAGGTGTCCATGACGCAAAAATGATCAAAGGGTAAGAAAAGAGTTGCAATTAAGAAAATAAAATCAAATTATAAGGGTGAATCCCTCAACATCTTTGGTAGTGTCCACGAAGTCGAGCATAACTCTCTCATCCGGACTCCAAATCGAATGGTTCCGGTGGCATTAGAAAACTATTTCAGCGGGCTACAATTCCCGTATAACGTCAAAATTCCAAATCCGGACTCGAACATGGTCCAAATTGGATAACAAAATCGATCAGAAAATACGTACAACAATTCAAGGACGTGAATGCGCATCAAGAAACGTGCACAAAAACACTCGCTAGAAAAGATACGCACATGAGTAAAGGTTCAAAAGCATGCACAAAAGTACTCACGCAAAAGTGCATTCGCAAAAAGGATCATGAAAACACAAACTACAATCGTAGGACATTAATACAAATCTAGAAACATGCAGAAACATGCTCCCTCAAATGGACCTGCACAAAAACGTACATGTAAAAAAACATGCGCAAAAGTGCATCCGCAACAACATTCTTGAAAACACGAACTACAATACTTTGACTTTAATACGCATCAACAGACAACAACAAAAACACTAGATAAAATATATACAAAGGAGTGTAGCAATAATACTCGACGTTTACGTTTACGTGGATATTTGTTTGGATTAATTTATATTTTTTTTTTTATTGGTGGATTTGGTATCTTTTAGGTAAGAATCGAAAATTAGGTGTCCATGAAGCAAAAATGATCAAAGGGTAAGAAAAGAGTTGCAATTAAGAAAATAAAATCAAATTATAAGGGTGAATCCCTCAACATCTTTGGTAGCACTAGGCCAAAACAACTCACTGGCGACGTTTTATTTGGCGACGATTTATGAATCGTCGCGGTCGTGCGACGATTTAAATAAACAATCGTCGCAAGACGTCGGAAATTATGATTTTGGTGTTTAGTCTAGCGACGAAAATATTAATCGTCGCTAACTCGCGACTATAGTTCCCAAATCGTTGCAAAGGAAAAATAAAAAATAAAAAGGCTCACTGGCGACGTTTTTTTGGCGACGTTTTTTTGGCGACGTTTTAAATTAAAAATCGTCGCAAGATGTCGGAAATTATGATTTTGGTGTTTTAGTCTAGCGACGCAAAATATTAATCGTCGCTAACTCGCGACTATAGTTCGGAAATCGTCGCAAAGGAAAAATAAAAAATAAAAAGTCCTCTCGTAGCGACGTCGTTATATAAACGACGCACAAATAATATATTTTGTAATTTAATATTTGTACCTTAGCGACGAATATTATATTTACGTCGCTAGAGTAATTGTGAAAAAAAAAAAAACATTTAATTGGGTTGGCGACGAATTTTATAAACGTAGCGTTATAAAGTGAAAGTATTAATTCGTAGCGACGAAATGGTAAGAAACGTCGCATGTTAAAACTTTTTTTTAAAAAAATTCTAATTATTTTTTGCGACTATAATGTATTAATCGTCGCCAAAATAATTAGTGAAAAAATTCCCCCCTTTTGTAGCGACGGTCCCTATGAAAACGTCGCACGTCTATAAAGTTTTTTTTTTTTTTTTTTTTTTTTTTTTTTTTTTTTTTGTTGCTACGAAAGCCAATAAAACGTCGCAAAGAGATTCGTTTTAGTCTTTGTTTGCTACGATTTTCTATTAAGTTTTTTTTTTTTTTTTTTTTTATTTGCTACGAAACCCAGTAAAACGTCGCAAAGAGATTCGTTTTAGTCTTTGTTTGCTACGATTTTGTATAAATCGTCGCCAAAATTTTAATTAGAAGACAGACCCTAATTCTATTTCCCCTCTTCTTTAACTCTTTTCTTCTTCGTTTCTCACAATCTCTCTCTTTCAATCTCTCACAGCCCACCCTCCGCCGGCGCCTCCCTCTCCGCCTCCGCCTCCGTCCGCCCTCTGATTCTTCTTCTTCTTCCGCCGCTTTGAACCCAGCCCTCTTCCGCAATAACAAGGGCTCGCCGTCACGGGTTTCTGAATTTTCCGTCAAACCCCACCGCCTCCTCTTCGAAACGGAGTTTGAACTGCGAACGCCGTTTTTGCGGCGTCGGGGTGGTGAAAGCTTCTGCCACAACGGCGGAGCCGGAGGTGGCCCGTGATCGCACCGCCGGTGATGAAGGTAGGAGGGTTTTGAGAGTCGGACTCATCTGCGGCGGCCCTTCCGCCGAGCGCGGAATTTCGCTCAATTATGCCCGCTCTGTGCTCGATCATATTCAGGTACTCAATTTCCTTTTTCTTTTTTTTTTCAATTAACAATTTAAATTATGAACTTTGATTGATAGCTTTGAACAATTTCTGTTTGATTTGGATTAGGGGGATGATTTGCATGCCAGCGCATATTACATTGACTGCAATCTCAAACCCTACGCCATATCCTCTGCTCAGGTCCCTTTATTTATACCTTCATCTTTCATATGTTATTTTCTCCGATTGAAAAATATTACTTCTGATAATGATTTTCAATTGCAGGTTTACTCGAACACACCTGCAGATTTTGATTTCAAACTCGAAAGGTAAGCTTTGTCCGGGATATTTTTACCATTTTGTTTTAATCAATTTTCGAAAACTAAGTTCAACATTATAATTGCAGCCTCGCTCAAGGTTTCGAATCATTGTCTGATTTTGTCGAACACCTTGCCACCTCCGTGGACATAGTATTTCCGGTTATACATGGCCGTTTCGGTGAAGACGGTGGCATTCAAGTGAGATTGTGGTGACTTACAAAAGTTGTTTATTTTTTTGGGAAATTTCAGGGAAGTGAATCGGAAGAAACTGAGCTGTCAACGTGGTTCGTCACAAATAATATAGATGTCGAACAAGGAAAAGTTGTGGTAAGACTGTTTATCGAATTTCAGCATTTAGAGATACTCGACAGTTTTGTTACAGTCCCATCTTTCGTGCAATAATATCAGGTGAAGCCAACAAGAGCAGGATCAAGCATCGGAGTTACCGTTGCTTATGGCGTTACCGATTCTCTGACAAAAGCTAATGCAATTATATCAGAGGTAATACTAGGCCTCATCCTCTATTTCGCCTAATGAATTTCTGGACTCACTGTAAATTTAATAAAGTGAAATGTAAATGTTTAATAGGGAATTGATGATAAAGTTATTGTAGAGATTTTTCTGGAAGGAGGTAGAGAATTTACAACGATCGTGCTAGATGTGGGTTCTGGTTTCGATTGCCAGCCAGTTGCTCTACTCCCGACAGAGGTATATGCTCTCGTCTCTTATCATGCTAAGAGTATATCTTCGAGTATCTGGATATTTATTTAATTGCTGATATAGGAGTATGTGGATTTGAATTTCATGTATTATGTCTGCATGTGCTATTATAGTTATCGTATGCTTATACGTTAACATAAATGTATAACCTAGAAAACGTATGAACGATGCATTTAAGATAATTATATTGGTATGTTATAAGAAACTGTAAGGAAGAAAATGTTTTGTATATGTTTGTTACTTATGTGGTTATGTGTTTTGCAAGTTCGATCTAACATGGTTATATTATTTGAGTCGAATGATTTCTCATTTATGTTATTGCACGGTGATGTATAGGAAAATCAGAATCTTAACATGGCTATCGGTCGAGTAGACACGGGAATACGGAGGGGCCGGTATTCCAACTACAGAACTAAGACTATAGAGTGAAACCCGAGAAATTGTGAACACATTGGCCGGACGTTTTGGACTAGAAGCCTCGACATCGACTCTTTCTAATGATGGTGGAGTATAAAAAGGGATGAAGTTTGTTTGCTTTTTGCATTAAAGTTTGAAACACAAAATTATATGCTTTTAAGTTTTTATGTACTTTTTGAATTTATGTTTGTGTGCTACCTTTTGATATTTAATCCGTAAATTTGGTTTTAATATTTTTGATATAAGTGTTTATTTTTTTATACAACAGCTGAATACAGGTTGAATTCGTCAATTGAAAATATAAATGAACCAGAATTTAATTTAAAAAAAAAAAAAAAAAAAAAAAAACTTTGCGACTAAAATAGACTATAGTCGCAAACAAAAGAAATGACTAGCTTGCGACGAATCAAATAAACACATCGTCGCAAATGAGTTGTATGCCTTGCGACGAAAACTATTATTAGTCGCAAAAATATTTTCACACTTAGCGACGAAATCATAACAAACGTCGCTAAATTTGGCGACGGAATATCAATTCGTCGCAAACACTACGCAACGAAAATATGGAATCCGTCGCGAGGATTAAAAAAATCATTTTTTCGGAAAATACTAATTTGGCGACGATTTCCCAGATTAGTCGCCAAACCTCGCGTCGGAAATGATTTTTCGTCGCAGGATTTGCGACGGTGCGTTTGGCGACGTTTTTTGTCCGATTTGGCGACGAAAACATTTCGTCGCAAGTCTCGAAAAATCGTCGCCAAATATCTTATTTCGTCGCCAAATTTCGTCGCCAGTCGTTCATTTTGGCCTAGTGATGTCCACGAAGTCGAGCATAACTCTCTCATCCGGACTCCAAATCGACTGGTTCCGGTGGCATTAGAAAGCTATTTCAGTGGGCTACAATTCCCGTCTAACGTCAAAATTCCAAATTCGGACTCGAACATGATCAAAATTGGATAACAAAATCGATCATGAAAATACGTACTACAATTCAAGGACGTGAATGCGCATCAAGAAACGTGCACAAAAACACTCGCTTGAAAAGATACGCACATGAGTAAAAGTTCGAAAGCATGCACAAAAGTACTCACGCAAAAGTGCATTCGCAAAAAGGATCATGAAAACACAAACTACAATGGTAGGACAACAATACAAATCTACAAACATGCAGAAACACGCTCCCTCAAATGGAGATGCACAAAAACGTACATGTAAAAAAACATGCGCAAAAGTGCATCCGCAACAACATTCTTGAAAACACGAACTACAATACTATGACTTTAATACGCATCAACAGACAACAACAAAAACACTAGATAAAAAAGATACAATGGAGTGTAGCAATAATACTCGACGTTTACGTTTACGTGGATTTTTGTTTGGATTAATTTATATTTCTGTTTTTATTGGTGGATTTGGTATCTTTTAGGTACAAATAAAAAATTAGGTGTCCAGGAAGCAAAAATGATCAAAGGGTAAGAAAAGAGTTGCAATTAAGAAAATAAAATCAAATTAGAAGAGAGAATCCCTCAACATCTTTGGTAGTGTCCACGAAGTCGAGCATAACTCTCTCATCCGGACTCCAAATCGACTGGTTCCGGTGGCATTAGAAAGCTATTTCAGTGGGCTACAATCCCCGTCTAACGTCAAAATTCCAAATTCGGACTCGAACATGGTCAAAATTGGATAACAAAATCGATCATGAAAATACGTACTACAATTCAAGGACGTGAATGCGCATCAAGAAACGTGCACAAAAACACTCGCTAGAAAAGATACGCACATGAGTAAAAGTTCAAAAGCATGCACAAAAGTACTCACGCAAAAGTGCATTCGCAAAAAGGATCATGAAAACACAAACAACAATCGTAGGACATTAATACAAATCTACAAACATGCAGAAACATGCTCCCTCAAATGGACATGCACAAAAACGTACATGTAAAAAAACATGCGCAAAAGTGCATCCGCAACAACATTCTTGAAAACACGAACTACAATACTTTGACTTTAATACGCATCAACAGACAACAACAAAAACACTAGATAAAATATATACAATGGAGTGTAGCAATAATACTCGACGTTTACGTTTACGTGGATATTTGTTTGGATTAATTTATATTTCTGTTTTTATTGGTGGATTTGGTATCTTTTAGGTAAGAATCGAAACTTAGGTGTCCATGACGCAAAAATGATCAAAGGGTAAGAAAAGAGTTCCAATTAAGAAAATAAAATCAAATTATAAGGGTGAATCCCTCAACATCTTTGGTAGTGTCCACGAAGTCGAGCATAACTCTCTCATCCAGACTCCAAATCGAATGGTTCCGGTGGCATTAGAAAGCTATTTCAGTGGGCTACAATTCCCGTCTAACGTCAAAATTCCAAATCCGGACTCGAACATGGTCAAAATTGGATAACAAAATCGATCATGAAAATACGTACTACAATTCAAGGACGTGAATGCGCATCAAGAAACGTGCACAAAAACACTCGCTAGAAAAGATACGCACATGAGTAAAAGTTGGAAAGCATGCACAAAAGTACTCACGCAAAAGTGCATTCGCAAAAAGGATCATGAAAACACAAACTACAATCGTAGGACATTAATACAAATCTACAAACATGCAGAAACATGCTCCCTCAAATGGACATGCACAAAAACGTACATGTAAAAAAACATGCGCAAAAGTGCATCCGCAACAACATTCTTGAAAACACGAACTACAATACTTTGACTTTAATACGCATCAACAGACAACAACAAAAACACTAGATAAAAAAGATACAATGGAGTGTAGCAATAATACTCGACGTTTACGTTTACGTGGATTTTTGTTTGGATTAATTTATATTTCTGTTTTTATTGGTGGATTTGGTATCTTTTAGGTAAGAATCGAAACTTAGGTGTCCATGACGCAAAAATGATCAAAGGGTAAGAAAAGAGTTACAATTAAGAAAATAAAATCAAATTATAAGGGTGAATCCCTCAACATCTTTGGTAGTGTCCACGAAGTCGAGCATAACTCTCTCATCCGGACTCCAAATCGACTGGTTCCGGTGGCATTAGAAAGCTATTTCAGTGGGCTACAATTCCCGTCTAACGTCAAAATTCCAAATTCGGACTCGAACATGGTCAAAATTGGATAACAAAATCGATCATGAAAATACGTACTACAATTCAAGGACGTGAATGCGCATCAAGAAACGTGCACAAAAACACTCGCTAGAAAAGATACGCACATGAGTAAAAGTTCAAAAGCATGCACAAAAGTACTCACGCAAAAGTGCATTCGCAAAAAGGATCATGAAAACACAAACTACAATCGTAGGACATTAATACAAATCTACAAACATGCAGAAACATGCTCCCTCAAATGGACATGCACAAAAACGTACATGTAAAAAAACATGCGCAAAAGTGCATCCGCAACAACATTCTTGAAAACACGAACTACAATACTTTGACTTTAATACGCATCAACAGACAACAACAAAAACACTAGATAAAATATATACAATGGAGTGTAGCAATAATACTCGACGTTTACGTTTACGTGGATATTTGTTTGGATTAATTTATATTTCTGTTTTTATTGGTGGATTTGGTATCTTTTAGGTAAGAATCGAAAATTAGGTGTCCATGAAGTCGCCTATACCAAAGAGGTAAGAAAAGAGTTGCAATTAAGAAAATAAAATCAAATTAGAAGGGAGAATCCCTCAACATCTTTGGTAGTGTCCACGAAGTCGAGCATAACTCTCTCATCCGGTCTCCAAATCGACTGGTTCCGGTGGCATTAGAAACTATTTCAGTGGGCTACAATTCCCGTCTAACGTCAAAATTCCAAATCCGGACTCGAACATGGTCAAAATTGGATAACAAAATCGATCATGAAAATACGTGCTACAGTTCAAGTTTGTGAATGCGCATCAAGAAACGTGCACAAAAACACTCGCTAGAAAAGATACGCACATGAGTAAAAGTTCGAAAGCATGCACAAAAGTACTCACGCCAAAGTGCATTCGCAAAAAGGATCATGAAAACACAAACTACAATGGTAGGACAATAATACAAATCTACAAACATGCAGAAACATGCTCCCTCAAATGGACATGCACAAAAACGTACATGTAAAAAAACATGCGCAAAAGTGCATCCGCAAAACATTCTTGAAAACACGAACTACAATACTATGACTTTAATACGCATCAACAGACAACAACAAAAACACTAGATAAAAAAGATACAATGGAGTGTAGCAATAATACTCGACGTTTACGTTTACGTGGATTTTTGTTTGGATTAATTTATATTTCTGTTTTTATTGGTGGATTTGGTATCTTTTAGGTACAAATCAAAAATTAGGTGTCCAGGAAGAAAAAATGATCAAAGGGTAAGAAAACAGTTGCAATTAAGAAAATAAAATCAAATTAGAAGGGCGAATCCCTCAACATCTTTGGTAGTGTCCACGAAGTCCAGTATAACTCTCTCATCCGGACTCCAAATCGACTGGATCCGGTGGAATTAGAAAGATATTTCAGTGGGCTCCAATTCCCGTCTACCGTCAAAATTCCAAATTCGGACTCGAACATGGTCAAAATTGGATAACAAAACCGATTCATGAAAATACGTACTA